AAAGTGCAACTAGCAAATCTAAGAAATCATGGCATTATTCCCACCATCGAATGTTATAACGTGTTTGTACAACCATGGCTCATTGCATAAAAGTGCAACTAGCAAATCTAAGAAATCATGGCATTATTCCAACCATCGAATCTTATAATGTGTTTGTACAACCATGGATCATTGCATAAAAGTGCAACTATCGAATTAAAAATGACATTTTAAGTTCTTATGTTCATTTAACCAAAAATGCTCATTCCTAAATTTCTAAATGAACTACCACGTTGGAACAAAAGGTCATTTTTATCAAGAATCAAAAATCGTAGAGTCTGGACCAAAGGAAATGAAGGTAGCTTTGGGATACTGTTCAAAGCTGGTGGTAGGTCAATTGTGTTGTTGCAGATAAATATTTAAATGCAACTATGATGGTAGTCGAAGTTGAAGTACAGGCTAGACGAGGTGATGCAAATTCCGTCTATGAAAATTAAAGGTGGTGAAGACTAGCGATGAAAGATGTGCAGGCGATGGTAGCGATGTGGTGTGATTTCAATAGTTTAAAGAGTAGCGGGGCGGCTTGAGACGATGATAATTTTCATTTTTTTTTTCTTTGATTTCATTTTCCTCTATTTTCTTAATTTTTTTAATATAAAACCAGTGCACTTACTTATTCTCACATTTAAAAAGTTGGATATGAGCTTTGTTCCCACCTATTTAACAGACTCTTAGATGATAACCGTCCAAATATATAGTCAAACGTTTATGAAAATTTATTTTATGAAGAGTAATGGAGTTAATTGTTTCAATGATCACTGAATTTATGTTAATATCTTCGATTGTTCACTGAAATTTAAAATGTCGAATTTCAGTCAATCAATTTATCCAAATGTTGGACGTTACTCACTAGCATAATTTCCATATCAAACATTTTAACGAAATTGGTGAAGAGGCTAACGGAATGTACATGTGGCATCTCATCACACAGTTAAACTTTGAAGTGGTCGAAATTTACCCACTAAACTATGTCAATATTTTAACTACGAATTTTAATTAAATATAATGAATCATAATTATTGGCATTCTCCATTATGGAATGTAAATGCAAATGTAAAAGAAGCAGTATATTGATAAAAATATTTTTTTTTTTTCGAAATCAAAAGAGAGGTTGAGTTCAATTTTATTGTGAGTAATAGAAAATATTTTTCAAATTCAGTAGTCAAAATTCGACTAATTCAAAGTATAGTGGCCAAAATTCGACCACATAAAAGTTCAATAAGTAATAGAAAACTTTTTCAAAGTTTAGCAAACAATCAAAGAAATTTTATTAAGTTTCAAGTTTTAGTGACATGACGGAACGTCACATATGTATTCCATCAGCTACATCATCAATTCAGTAAAGATTTGAAATGAAGTCATGTCACTTAATAACATCCAACATTTGAATAAGTTGAGTGATCAAAACTCGATATATTAGATTTCAATGAGCAATCGAAAACATGAAGATAAGTTCAGTAATAGTTAGAACAATTGACTTGAGAATAATGTGTGGTTATAGACCCTTATTTCGATTTTCCGTTGAGCAAAGCTTGTTAAAGCTTAAACACTCCCTAAATCTCATTATGCTAAGCACGATTACTTAATTCATAAGTTTGTCCAAAGTGGGAACCTCACCCTAAGGCGGGCCTTACCATATCTTGTCAATGATTTCTCCAAATCTTAACATCCCAATTCCCTCAATTTCAATTGGCTAAACTGGTCGACGTCAGGTGACGCACCTGAATTCAAACCCTCAATAGTATAGTGAAAATTCAACGCAAAATCGAACTGTCTCCAACTGGAAAATACTAGAATTAAAAATCTTACACAAACCTCAAAATATCTGATCCCCGTGGGCCCCATCTGTCCACTCTTTCGTCCACACAACTTCTTCTTCAACTGCTAAAACGAGAAAAGAAAATACCAGGTCGGTTCTTCTCCTCCTTCCTTCCCCTTTCCTTAATTCCTTCAAATTAATTTAGGTTTTATGTTAATAATTTGTCTCTTAGTACTTTTTCTTGTCCAGGAAAATATGTGGGGAGGAAAACTTAGGATTGCTACAGTGAAAGTTGAACAGGAAATGGAAATGCAAGGACAACCCTCCACCGCCTTATGGTTCTTGGCTGATATTTTTGGCTTCTGGGCGGCGGCAATACCTATATATACCCAACCCCACCACTTCTCACCGACCATTTTTCGTCCACAAAACTACTACCGGGATTTCCTCTATAATCTGCTCCAAAATCCCAAGAAACTAATTCAAGAACCATACTTTGATAGACAGGAATGGACCCTGAAGATCATAAGACCCTATTTTCTTCTTCTTGTGGAGAATCTGATATTCCTATACAGCCTAAAACGATGCCGATTTCTTCATCGGAATCCTTCCTTTTGCCTTTATCAGTGGCAGCTCCATTTCCTAAACCACCAGAGCCCTCACATTTAATAAACGTTGATTCTTTTCCACCCCAATTTGAATTCCAAGGTGCCATTCCAATTGGAGAAACTGCAGCTCCGAGTACCGTAGGAGGTACTGGGGATTCATTAGGTGTGCCACAGCCTATGGAGTGTTTGTATGGGACTCCAATTCCTCCTTTCTTGTCCAAGACTTTTGATTTGGTTGATGACCCTTCATTGGATTCTATAATTTCTTGGGGAGCAAAGGGGGATAGCTTTGTTGTGTGGGATCCTGTGGAATTTGCAAGGATTATCTTGCCAAGGAATTTCAAGCACAATAATTTTTCAAGTTTTGTTCGGCAGCTTAATACATATGTGGGTATCCATTTAATTTAACTCTGGGATGCTCTTAGTCTACATATCTATTGATTCTTGAATTCTTTGTTCCATTGATCTTGCTTTGTATGTATATTCTTTTGTAATTTTTGTGTTTTTTCTATGTACTTTCTGGAATCCATTTCTTGTAAAGCTTTTAACTTCATTTCTTGTAATCGTATTTAGCTAGATGTAATTGAAGATGTAGAGCAATTTTAGTACTGATGGATCTCAGGATTTTTGTACTGAAAGACGGAATAATGTAATTTTGTATTAAAAATGCATTTTATATTTTTTGAGCAATTTAATCTTGGATGCAGTTACTGTATTAACTTTTTGTGTTAAGTTCATGTTTTTGTAATCTGGGGGATGTACCCTGTTTTTTATAGTGATGTACCATTGGTAGATCCTAATAGTATGTTAGTATGTCATCGTCATCAATCGGACCTGTATATAGTGCTGAGATGCTACTATTTTCTCCTCCAAATATATGAAATCGATCTCCTTGGACTGACTGCTGATGTTTGGAGGTCCATCTATTCCCAAGGTAGTATTTAAAGCTTTGGTGGACATTTCCTGATATGCATCTAATTACATTCTTTTCGACTGATAAAGAATTGTACTGATTTGTGTATGTTTAGTAAAATGCAGCTCCTTGTACTCTTGGATATTGATGGTTTTGATTTGACTTGTGACTCTGTATAGTTACTTTCTTAGGACAAAATTCTTTCTTATTCTTGATAAATTTTCTTTAATGCACATTAGTTTTTGACTCACTTTTTGGTACTTGTATACAGGGATTTCGTAAAATTGATACTGACAAGTGGGAGTTCGCCAATGAAGGATTCATAAGAGGGCAGAGACATTTTTTGAGAACTATCCAGAGACGAAAAACATCTCAATCTCTGCAGATTGGAAGCTCGTCTGGATCATCTAGTGAGACGGGGAAAGCTGCATTGCAAGGCGAATTGGAACATTTAAGGAAAGAGAGAAGCTCAATGATGCAGGCTGTGGTTGAAATGCAGCACCAGCAGCGGAATACATTTCAACATATGGAAATAGTCAATAAGAAACTCCAGGAAGCAGAGAAGAGGCAGAAGCAAATGCTTTCGTTCTTGGCTAAAATGTTACAGAATCCAGCATTTGTGGCTCGTCTTCAGCAAAAGGGCATAACTTCTCCAAGAACAACACGAAAATTTTTAAAACATCAACATGAATCAGGTACACCTGATTCGTCCCTTGAGGGGCAGATTGTGAAATATAGACCGGAACGAAGAGATTTTGCTATGGCTTCTGTACCTCCGGACTTCAATCCTGATGCATTCAAACAACTTCCTGATTATTCTTTACAAAATACAGGAGAAAACCTTGCTTTTGGTGCAGAGATTTTTCCTTTCCAGGCTGAACATACTGATCGTGATGCAGTGGTGCTGCAACATGAATTTATCCAAACCCCTGAACAGGCTGGAGGAGTCTCAAGTATGGACGCTTTAGATCCATTTAATAAAGGAAAGAATGTAATAAATCCCGAGAAACAAGTCACTCCCCAGCATTTCATCTCTTTTCCTGAGGACTTGGCTAGGGAGAAGAATTTTCTTGAAATATTGTCGCCAGGAATTGGACATATGGTCAAAGAAGAGGGCGAATGGAACTTAGGTTTTGAAGCCAGTCATGGTATGTCCAGTTCTACAAATGAGTTATGGAGTAATCTTAGCAATTATGACATGCCAGAATTAGGTGTTAGCAGTGGGATATCTGATATTTGGGATATAGGCTCACTGCAGCCCTGGGGAACTCCAGGCATTGAGACGTGGCCAGAGGAAGACTCACCCTTGAATGAGCTAGAGAACCAAGCTGGCCAGTCTAGAGACGATAGTTCTAAGAAAATGGACCCATAGGGTTTATAGTTTGCTGCTCTTTGAGTCCTAGTATAGTTGGATTGATTTCTTTCATACTATTGAACAGTTCATCATATATTAGTTTATTATTAAATTTCCTTAATTTTCTCAATATTTGCATTTATTATTTTGGTTATTTCAGTGAATTCCAAGATCATCATTTTGTTGTTGTGCTTTAACTTTGTAAATTTGACAGTAATATGCAGAAATTTCCTGCTAACAGATGTATTCAAAGTTATGGATGTGCAGGTTTTGAGCAGTTTGGGACAATCAGAAGGTGCAGTCGGGCCGTGGCAGGAGTGTGTCGATGAGTCAGGCAGAGGCTATGGTGGGTAAGATTTTAAGAAGACGCTCTGGATAATTATTTAAGAGTGTTTGAATCCCATTTTATTGTAAGAATGAATTTTGGAATAGTATATTGATAGAGAATGTGTATTTAAAAAATAAGGAAAAGTTTTGGGTTTGAGTGTGATATTATTTTATTGAAGACTCTGTGGTTGTAAAGGAGAAAAAGAAAATGTATTTTGGAAATAACGAGAATCAAACAAGGGCTTGGATTTAGTTGAAAAGTATAGTTGATATGATCTACAATCATGTATGTGATCGCATAGTAACATGTTGAGTACACAATACCAGACGATACAATAAACATATGTAAAATTTGAAGTTGCTGCTATATTTCTCTCTTCCCCACCCCTTCGAAAAAGGACTTTGGACAAGGACAAAGGTGGTCCTCTTATCATTGGTTATTTAGAGATGTAGCCTTGAATTTTTTATGTGATTAAAGGAAAACAATGGAGCAAAACTGAAAACATAAATATTTTGTGAATGACCAGGTGATGAGCCTGGATGGTGACGTATCCATGAATTAAAACTTTCCTGCACTAAATTTAACTAGTTTAGTGTCAAGTACTTGTGGGCTTTACATTATAGTATCTTCTTTGTTTAAGCAATGTATTACGTTCTTGATTAATTCATTGTTTTCAAATTCTATAAGATGGTGTATAATTCCACCAAATTCTGGACATTAGGTGGGTCGATTCGAATATTTTGATACCCTAAATCACATATCACACTTTTGGTATTTCATAAATGGAAACATTCGAGATTATGTAATTATTGGAATCGAATTTGAACTTGAACCATCAATTTCAATTTGGGATCGATTCAACCAATAAAAATATTTAAAAATCATGTGCTTACAATACGAATTATCAACTCAATATCTAGAGCGTGAAGAAATAAAATATGCCACCAAATACATATTAACACTTTCTTAATTTACTGCAAATATATCATCAAATAGCATCCAATAACAATGAGGAAATAATAGAGACTACAAATGCTAAAAATATCATAAATCCTTCATTTGAAAACAACATAATAATCAACATTGTTTGAATTTTCTTTTCATCGCATCATTCCCTTTGCATTCCATTGGGTTATTCGATCAAGGTGAATAAACCATTAAAAAAAATTATATAAAAAGATAAATTCAATTCCATAATTGAATATTCACCATTTCGGCTTAAGAACTCCGCCTATTCTGAATTTCGGTTCCTAATTTTTGTTTATGGAACCAGACCAAAAAAAGAAAAACTTAAAAAAAAAAATTTTTTAAAAAAAAAAAAAAAAAAAAAAAAAAGAAAAAAACTTCATCAAGAAAAAACAAACAGTATCTGTCCCTCCCTCATTCATGCACGAATCACCCTCTCCTCCATGTTCTCCATGCTACGGATACGAAACCAAACGGGCTAAAATGGTGGAACTAAGACCAAATCTGCTGCAGGTGTCTTAGGAACAGGTATGCCACGAGTACAGAAAAATTGACAGAATTTTTACAAAAGAACACTTGACAATTTTTCAACCCAATAATGGCAGAAAATTCACCACACGGGTGCTGGTTTCTGTGAATAATTCCTTGTATTCTCTCGGGAGTGTGCAAACGTAGAGCATTGCATACCCCAAAATGAGTGAAATTTGGTGACGGGGGAAAGAGAATTGCAGATCAGGCAACTACTACGAAAACTTATGCAAATCAACAGGTACACATTCAAAATGGCTTTTTGATATAAATCGTTTTTTTTTTCCCGAAAAATACAATATCAAGAACTGTTTGATTTGCCTCTCTTTCCGTTCTGGTATAGAGAGAGAATCTTGTCTAAATAATAATTTAAATGGCATATAATTGCAAATGTACATTTTGCCAACTAACTCAATTCTCTAATGCCCACACGAACTATTATTTACACAAAAAAGCCTGCAGAAATATATGATTAGAGATGCTAAATTAAACAACTAAAAAATAATTCCTCGAGCAGCAGTTCGATCCATCACATCTCCAAGCTGAGCCACATTCGCTGTGTGCACCGAACACTGTGAAACCTGCTCTATCCATATTAATGCATGAGAATTTAGGCTTCTATCTTCACAATTTTTGACCAAGTATTAGTAAAGGCAATCCAAAAATATACTTTATAAGAAGTAATTAACATTATTTTAACAAAATGAAGAACTTGTTTCTATAAATCAAACGTCCAATTCATATGGATCATTTAAAGAACACTCAAGGGGTAAATTAAATTAAATAAATTCCATTGGATAAATTCCATTCACATAACTATATTTTCACTTAGTGTCAATATGGTAATTGTTTTCAATATAATTTAATCGGGCAACTATATTTTAATTTGATTTCGATAAGGCAACTGCACTTTAGTTTGATTTCAATCAGGTAACTAATCTTTGATATGATTGCAATTAAGGTAACTTAATCCAATTCCAATAATGGTCTTCGCATTGAACTGTTAGTTGCCAAAGTGGAATAAGTATAACTTTGCTGATATGAAAGACCACCACCATTTTTTGATGGCCAAATCATTGACAAGAAATTAAAGTTTAGTTACCTAATTGAACAAAATTGGAGTGGCGTAGTTTATTGACACTAAATGAAACTATAGTTACCGCGAACTGGAATTTACCCAATTCAAATTCCTTCAAAACAGACTTGACAGTTTAGAATTGAGTACATGAGTTTAGAGACAAACCTTATACAGACCGAGTAGTTTTTCTGCCTGAAATTGGATCCAAAAGGATGTCATGCACGGAGACAATATAGTCTTCCCTGTTCTACACTCTTTTCATATGAGCAAATGCATTTCTGCGCGATCTGGTTCGGTTGTGGGGGGAGATTTAATCAATGGTTTGAGTGATTCCATGATACTGGAAAAGGAGGGGCGTCTCCATGGCTCTCTGCAGAATGAACGACTGAAGTGAGTCAAAAAGCCAGACGTTTTAAGACTAAGGTATTGGAAATATTCTGAAGAAACCTGTTAAAAATTGCGATTGCTCAATTTTAGAGCTAAATAAGAAGTCAACATAACAAATATGCACACATATACATTGTCAATGGAAGTATTTATATAATTTTGAGAGAGAAGGCTTAAGCCCCGGTTTGGTTTGGATTAAAATCCAATTAAAATTTCAAGTCAAAGTCAACAATTAATTTTAAACACAACTTTTCAATCACACATTTTATCAAGTTTTATCAAAATCTACTAAAAATCTGATTTTAATCTCTACCAAGCAAGGGCTAGATATGGCTTGAAATTGAAAGTTCTAAAAGTTTAACCAATTAATAAAATATCTCCAACATGGAATGTATGTGAAACAATTTTAGGCTCAAATCAGGCAGACCAAAACTGATTCCCTGTGTGTTATAGTTACAACCTAGGTTCTAGATGAAAAAATCCAGCAGCATATCCCTAAAATTCATTTCCGGTTTATGACTTATCCAAACCTCACATATTAGTAAATGAGACCATAGTCACTCACTTGGCCCAGCAGGCTTCAATTAAAGCCGCTACTTGAGGATTCACATCAGATGGAATTTCAAGCCGTTTTCCCTTGAAACCAACAGCTGCTACAACCTAGAAGATTAAAAATATATATTTAAATCTCTTCATAGAAATGGGCTCGAGCAAATAACTAAAAGAAACAATAAAACACTCTGAGAAATGTTGTTTATTTTATTTCCTCTTTTTCTTTTCAGTTTACAAGTTGGACCCTCACACGTCAAAATATTCTCAAAATCGATCTACCGCAGCAAAGGCATTTGTAGGCAAAGCAAAGCACCTTCCCCATCATGTGCAAACAGGAGTTCTAACTCTACTACTACAAAGGTGTCACTTCTTAGGCTAGAAGCTATTCAGAACCCCCACAGAACAATGATAAAGCTTGTCAATAACTTAATGCAATCAAGAACCACTTAAGTGGCAGATACCAGTAACAAAAGAGAATATCATAAACACAAATTATGGCTACCAAGTATCCAATCACATTATAAAATATTCAAATTTTTTGTCAAGTTATGAAGTAGATAACTGCACATACAATTCAACAAATGACATGCATATCATGCCAATAAGCAAACCCATAAATAAATGGTTCTTCAACAGGACAGTGTATCATAAAATTGATCCAAGCAGCATTAATATGAGCTCCACCATCTAAATCAGAATTATGAGGTCAAGTACACATTTGAAATTCAATGTTAGTCGAGATAATTAATAACAGAGAAGTAATTTGTTCAAGACACTCCAGTCATTTTCCATATGTTGACATTAGCAGATCAAACCTAATGTAACATTTTTTCAAAAACCTTATGGGCGAATATAAACAAGCATTAACAAATATGGAGCGGTCTCTGCATGCCAGTAAACATGTAGCGCAGAGGAAAGGACTAGCAACAACACAAACACTGATTTCTTTCACAAATCTCCAGCGCTCCATTTTTTTTTCCTCCACGTTTTTTGGGAAGGGGGAGGGGTGTTAGCTTGACAATCTACCTACCATGCAACTTACTTTCTTTTCCTTTTTTTTTTTTTTTT